CAAGTAGCCGTACTGTTTTCACTATAGCTTGGATCTTCTGAGACCCTTTCCTAATCCAGACCCCACTCAAAGCTGGCAGCCTACAGTGTCTCCTGTAAATTGGCTGAAACAGAATACCCATGTGTATAATGTGCTACTTTCAGAACCCAAAGAGGTTTATCAGGCAGTGTACTTTCTTTTTCTTCATGGGAAATGTAAGATTCAATAATTTATCCTTTTCTTTAGATGGGTTGTTTTAGCATGCCCTGGTTTAGAGGGCCTCTGATTACTCACAGAGCTTATTTCCTGCCACCTGAAATGCCTATGTACCAGGACCTTCAAAGTGTTCATTACTTCTTACCATCTAGCCTAATTAGCATGTTAACATTGATATAGTAGACAGGTGTGATGGTCTGAAGGAAGTACAAATAGTCCAGACGTTTTATATCTATGTTATAACAAAAGGAAGACTATATTTAATATAGTCATAGGGCAAAAATACACATGTATACTATTGTCTATTCCATGTCAGTGGAATGATGTATGATACCCTTTTCTGATAGAGATAGAAGAGAATACATTAATTCAATTGATGGCCATATACCATGTACCTGAGTCAATGTGCATTTGCTCTAGCAAAGATTCCACCTCTGGTACGGTGGATGCAATTGGCCCACCAATTGGTTGACTTTGTGATACAGAACTGTCATTCTCTACAACTGATGAACTAAATGCATACATGGCAGGGAACATCATTTCTGTATCATTCAGATCCTTAAGGATGGCATTAAGTTTTGTGTCTTGTGCCCATTGGAATAATCCAATGAAAAGTGGAGCAGAATGCCCTAAAGACTTATAGTGCTGAGGAGATAAAATTCGGAGTTCTGAATTTGAAAAGGCAGGAAGTGGGAGTACATTAGTAAACATCTCAAGGCCTCAGCTGGGGCCCTTCCAGGCTACACTCCAGAAGTGAAGCCAACCAGAGGTAGACAGAATCTTGACATTGTGTAACTCAGCCTCAAGTCGGTTTTGTCCATGACTGAAATATGATCATTAAGAGTTCTGATTATCAATCAGATATTAATGATCTGATTTCACTCGGTATCAGGAGAATATAGTAAACCCTCCTTGGAGGAAAATAACAAAATTCAGGTGACAAAGTAAGAGATAATATTTTACCCAGAAAGTGCCTGACTTATTTTTTTCTTGTAAAACCAATATGATGCCAAGACCACCTAGGCTGAGCTCTTGAATATACCGTTTTCATCTAACTGCTTTTTTGGCCTTTTGGATTCTTCCTTTGTTGATCAATAAGTCTTAGTTGACCCATCCCCAAAAAGGGATGCCAGATAGAAGAAGCCTCCTTGAGTTAGGCAGTGGATCTGCAGGGGTTAGCCGTAGGTTAATTGATGGCTGCCTTTGTGGATGTGTACGTGGTGGCTGCCTCCAGTAGGTGGCAATGTTGTCCTAGGAAATGGCCTCTGAGTGATCCTGTATTTAAGCAGAGCCGGGATTTCCCATTCTTTTGAGAGTCTATATTGCTGTTGCTAGACTACTGTGAGGGGACAGGGAAACAGATTGAGAGGATGATCTACAGGTCCCACAGGAAGCAGTTGCAGAACAGGGTAATCCTCTCTGACACGAGTTGAGGAAGTAAAGTCACAAAACATCATTCCACAACTGTACCTTGAATCCGCTCAAGGAGCCCCATCCATGTTACATTAGCTTTCTTTCTCCCACTGCAAATCATGCCTAAACCCCGTCAGTTGAATTCCTTCACTTTCCCCCAAGGGAGTACAATGAAAATCAGGCTCCAACAATTGCACCTGTACAGGAGACCAGGGAAGTTCAGGGTGACCAAGAAAGGACAGCTAGGGTGACAAATGGAAGACAGTAGAGAGACAGGGAAGAAAACTTCATTGTTAGCATTTTCCCTCCTTTAGCTCTTTGCTCCAGGGTCAGCATCCAAGCACAAGTGTCAATTCCTTTCCATGTACCTCTCAGTATTTGGTGAAAACCCAGGCTCAGAAATCCCTTTCTACCCTTACACACAACTGCCTCAGCTCCATCCATTAGTCCTTGGTGCCTTTATCCATGCCTGTGCTCAACATCTTGTTCTTTTACAGGACAGGGAAGGATGGTGACTTGGGCACCTGAAGCCAACAGAGCCATAAGCTTGAGCCCTTCACTCCCCGAAGTTCCCTGGCATATGCACACAGGTGTGCATGGCCCTGTCCCATTTAAGGACAAAAAGATCTCAGTTACATCTCTAATTATCTTTCTCCAAAAGCAGCTGAGGTTGAGGCAGAAGGAAAGGGATGGGCTAGAGAGGGGCAAAAGGAAAAGAAATTGGCTACATCCACTTTTAGTTTTGAACGACTGGTTTGGATTCAATCAAATGTTTTTGTTTACCTGAAGCAATATATCAAATATCAAGGTTCTTATTGCTGACACCATGTATTTTAATTTTAGGGATTCTTTACTCAGTGGCCACAACCACATTGCTTTTCTGTTGGGTTGTAGGGCTTGCCGCTACATTGTCATGAGAACATCCCTTCTTGTTCCTGTCCAGAGGAGACTAAGTCACATGAGTAACAACCACAGAATCATTTGGGTGGTTTATTTCAATTATACCTCTGGCCACTCAGACTCATTAACAGGTAGGTCAGTGGGAAATCCTTAATTCCCTCAGCCTCACCCACTGCACCTTGTGGAGAAAGCACAGCCCTGACAACATCTTGATATCAGTTATACATTTCTGTCCCTTCATGACTGTGAGAGGATAAATTGTTTTAAGACACCAAGTTCATAACAAATTACCCCAAACTTGGTGACTTTAAACTACAGAAATCTACTCTCTTACAGCACAGTTCTGGAGACCAGAAGTCTGAAATCAAGATGTTACCAGAGTTGGTTCCTTCTGGAGGTTTTGAGGAGAACGTATTCCACGCCACTCTCCCAGCTTCTGGTGGCCTCTGGCAATCCCTGGCAACCCCTGGTTGTAGATGTATCTCACAAATCTCTGCCTCCACCTTCACACAGTCTTTCTTTCTGGGTCTTTCCTCCGTGTTTCTTCTTTACTTATAAAGACACTCATTACTGGATTTAGAGCTCAGCCAGTTAGTGCAGGATGATCTTGTCTCCTGAATCTTAATTTAATTACACCTGCAGAGCATCTTTGTCCAAATAAAGCCACATTTACAGGTATACAGGCTGAGGATGTGCTTGCACTTAGGGTCAGGCACAGTTAAATCCATTACAACCTTGTTCAGACCATTATCCCATTTCAGAGAGAGAGATCTGGAGTAGAATGGGATATTGGATTCGCTCTGTAACTGGGAATTGGAGGAGTGAGTGGTGATAAATCCAGGCCTAAGTTGAATTTTCTAGCTACAAGCTTTAAAAGTCTTTAGAGCTAGGTCAAGAGAAAATCAGAAAAAGGTATTTGCTACATTCTGAAATGCTTATAATATTTCTTAAGTGGTCAAAGCTGGGTGTACTTTAGATGCAGGAATGGCCATAGTGGTGTCTGGTTCCGATGAACCAGCTCAGTTAGGAGAAAGAATAAGCTATTTCAAGACATAAACCCCAGTCTTTTCCAAGGTACCAGCAATTTCGGCAAAAATTCAGTGATACTTCCTTCTCACACAGGAAACGGGTATAATAATATTGGCTCTATCTAATACGTATTAGGATAATATTTCATAAATTATTTAATAAACAGTAAAGCCACATAAGTTTTACGTCTCTCTTTTCATTATACTCGAAGACATATTTGAAATGATACAGTCAAATCTCATTACTTGTGGTAGTAACAGTCTAGAAAGATGTCACAAATACTGAATTAACAAGTACTGAAGCATTGCGTTTAGGAGTAACACAGTGTTGAATTCCTATTATCTTCTGGGCATGACATTTTCATCGCAGTCAGTACATATACTTGCTTTATGTTTGTTTCTGTTAAAAAGACATTATTATATATTGTTGATTCCTTAATATTGAACTGACAGTCAAATATGCTATAACTCATATCTGAAAAGCTTAGCTAGCTTATCTAATACATACATTTTCTTTATAAGGCATACCATAGCCACCTTTTGCTTGGGAACACTAGACTGAACTTCAGTTTTATGCGTGGGATCCACTTAAGCAGAAAAATCGCCACCACCAAAAAAATGTGGAAAATGTAGTCAATATATAACAGAATCTAATTATATAGCATTCTAGAAGTCGCAAAAACCATAAAGACAGTAAAAAGATCAGTGATTTCTTTTTTTACTGGAGTTCGGGGAGAGGGGAGGGATACATAGGTAAAGCACAGATTTCTAGGGTGATGTAACTATTCTGTATGATAACACTCATAGAACTTTACAGCACAGAGTGAATCAATGTATACACATTAAAGTATCATTTAGGAGGTCAAGGGGTCAAAGGAAAGAATTCAACCTGTGACAAGAGAATCTATTATATGTATGTATAACTGTATTATAAGCACGTAAAACAACTAAAACAGCCTCACTGAAGGAGGTGAGAAACAAGATGGTGACTGAAATAACTTTGGGAATGAATGGAGTAAGACTACAAGCACAGAAATTGCACATAGGCACTGTATTTTAGTTGATAAAGTTATTTCCCATTGAGGTAGAAGTTAACAATTCTGACACTGCTATATATGTATACGTGGATTAAGCAATTAAGTGAATGTGTGAGAGACGGCAGGCGTCATGCTTCTCAGTGTTTGGAGTTAGAATTTACAGATAAGAAAGGCATATACACATATGTGTACATATACATATATGAGTAAATACATTCACATATATTTCTTTGCCCTGTCAGCTGTGGGGGTTTAAAAGAAACAACACCCCAGTAGCAAAATGAGCATATCTAGTACCTAGATCTTGCTTTCTAATACCATTCTTCATTAAAAGTCTCTGGGTGTTCCACGGTGAGCAGATCTATGCAAACCTAATCCCAAAGGCCAAAGAAACTGAGAGGCTAAAGAAAGAGGCGGACAATTACAGTTTCTCAGAAAGAAACATTTAATAGGAACTTACAAACAGAAGCAATGTTTCCAGCAACCACTAAATTGCAGCACTCACCCTCCCCAAAATATCCTTTATATAGCAAGCCTTTTTGGCAAAACATGTAGCTGGTCACATCTCAGACTTTCTTGTGAAACACTTGACCACTGGGGAGGTTAGCTAAGCATCTTTATGAGGGGTTATCTGTACTACCGGCATTGTTTAAAGACATTGCTGCAGAATATCTTGGTACGCAGGAGTCAAGGAGCAGTCACCATGGCAGCTGCACTTCAAGATGACATCACCCTTGCAATGCAACAGGCTGTTTTCCTACACTGCACCACTTGAAACCAGCCCTTACAATCTTAAATGCCCACCTTTTCTGTGATAGTCCCTGGACCTAGACGGAGGGTGCTTGATATTGTATGGCTTTAGTAGCATGGCACTGGCAATGGAAAACAGATTGGGTCCAGTGGAATTCCAGATGAGGGAGATTTGCAGGCTTGGCTGAATCATCTATATAGTCTTCACAATACCATGAAGAAGTAAAACAATGAGAAATACATAACATTCATAATTGGAATAGAAGAAATCTAAATAAAGTAATATGATATTTAAGATATCCCTTGCCTTAATAGCCTATAAACATGGGAAGAATGACTATTGTCTTCTGAATTTCAGGACCCATGTATTCTGACAGTTTCAGTGACATGAGGATTTTGGAAATTCTAAAAGATTCTGAGATCATTTCTAATCAAGCATTTAGCTCCTAAGTTAGCATTAATGACAACCCCAACTTTTGCTACTGAGTGACCTTCACATTTTGCTGAGCACTTGCTTTCCTTATGTCAGATGTAGAGAATAATGAGATGAACAAATTTTGATTCCTGCACTGTAGCAAATGAATTTACACAAAAATATAAAAGATGAAAAAAATAGTGATTACATTACTTTCAGTGTCATGAAACTGATTATTATTTAATCTTGTTATTCTTCACTTCGCTTGACTTTAAAATATTGCAGGTTATAGTCCATCTCAGTGTTGTTAGGACTAATTTCTTCATGTGCTTAAAAAGGTGCCTGACAGATAGGAAATGGTTAATAGTATTATTATGGATAAAACTGATCATTTCGGAATTTAGATGCCTATGAAAAATAACTCCATAAGCCATTCCTTTAAATCTAATAGACTGAATTCTCATAAGTCCTCATCACTCATCATTTCTATATCCTGATGGCTTACAAATACCTCTTCATACCATGGTTTATGTCTTTGCTTAATATCAAGGAGAATGGATTCTATAGTAGAGCCAAACTCGATAATACTACGAATCTCATGTTGGTAGTCATAAGCAAAGCCAGCAGCATGCATGGCTACCAATGAACCTTTTGAATCAAACACTGGGGAGCCAGAAGCCCCAAAGAAAAACTCAGTGTCATAGGTAATCACATCAGGGTTGTGAACTATTTTCTGGAAACTTCTTTGAGTGTACATATGAACATACTCTGGACTTTCTGCTTCTTTAGCCTGAATACGTTCCTGACATTTCTTTGCTCGCTGATCCTGAGGGATCACAACACAAGCATCGGTTTGCTTTTTTTCTCCATATGGATGGCCAATAATATGTATTAACCCACTAAGCGGCACAGGAACAATTCCATTATATAGTTCCATAGGTACTTGTTGTCCATTTTCCTTCAGTTTCAGTACAGCATAGTCAAGCTCTTTATCATGTATCTCAAACCAAGATTCAACGAAAAAGCAGTTTGTTTCCTTTTCGTTTGGCTCTTCATAACCAAATGTTACCCTTACACATTGACCAATTACGTCTGCCCACTTACTTGGCTCTATTTCTTCTCCTACAATGTCATCTATTACATGTCGACAAGTTAAAATGAACAATCCTTTAAAAACAAAGCAGGTGGCACAACCTGTAGTTGCACCGTCCCAGTATAAGTGCCCAACTGAGTCACTGAGATGTCCAAGAAGTTTCACTACTTTTACAGAGTAAGAGCTTTTTGTTACTTTCCCAAAGTTTGTTCTATGCAATTTAAATAATGTTTTCCCATTTTTTCTTTTCATTTTTTTCTTGAAGTTTTCCCTGATTTTTTCACTTTCTCTTTTCAAACTGGGGTACTGAGATATGATTTGTTCTCTCAACACACAGGTGTTTCTTTTCTCTGACTCAGGATTCTGAGGACTTGCTTCACTGGGACGCGTTCTGTTCTCAACCTCAACCTGGAAGAGTTTGCCTTCTAATTCATCAACTGGCTGGGTATTTTCTAAAATGGAGTCATGGTTTTCAATGAGTTTCCAATCATCATTCTCCAGAAAGGAACGAAATCTGCCATCCTTGCACAGAGCATCCTTGATGGTTTCTCCTTTGAAGGCATACACACAGAGTTTGTACCCCTTTTTGTGAAGCTTCCCACATTTAACAATTTTTCTTTTATACTTCCCAATTCCAATTGCATGAATGTAGAATTTGACACAGTCAGTTGATGTCTTGTCATGCCGGCCAAATACTTGGTTATCTTTTTTCTGCTTACTTTTACTTTGGGAAAATGTAATGACCACATGGCATCTTTCAGGAAAACAAGTGAGGGGCATTCCAAGGTTTATGTACCCTTCGATTCCTTCTGCACCACGCACAAGCATTTCTTGGCCTTCATGAGTTTCTATCTCTTTTCTGACAGCCTGGAGAGTGTTGAGAGCCATATATAAACTACCATTCTCATTATGTGTGAGCCTATGTTTCATTTTTTGGTTTTTCTTGTGATTTACATCCAGGGTAACATGTATTATCTTATTTTGGGGCATGGTCTGGTCTTCTTGATTTTTCTTAGGTGAATGGAATTGTTGAGCCTGGGTATTAGTTATGTCTCTTGGGCCACATCTAGACACCATCCTCATTTGAGAAGTACTCAGATTATTTTGCTCCTTAGAGACCTAAAAATAAATGTTAGATATTTTAAAACTCTGAATGCAACCCTAGTCTTTTGGTTCTCTTTTCAGTTATGCAATTCATAAAAGTACTATGAGAAACTCAGAACCGATCTAAAAGGGCCAGCGAATAGAATTAAATCAGTGTTTGACTTGGGATCCAAAATGAAAGCTGAGCTTCCCATAACAGCTGTGAGACAAACTCTTGATACTACTATACTAGTGAATTTTTCTAAGAAATGTGAGGGAAGAAACAATTTTTTCCCAGGTGCATCAAAAACAGAGGTTCTTAAATGTCCACTAGTGGCTGGGCATGGTGGCTCATGCCTGCAATCCCAACACTTTGGTAGGCTGAGGCAGGCGGATCACCTGAGGGTCAGGAGTTCAAAAGCAGCCTAACCAACAGGGTGAAACCCTATCTCTACTAAAAATACAAAAATTAGCTGGGTGTGGTTGTACATGCCTATAATCCCATCTACTCGGGAGGCAAAGGCTGGAGAATCACTTGAACCTGGGAGGTGGAGGTTGCAGTGAGCCGAGATCGCCCCATTGCACTCCAGCCTGGGCAACAAAAGTGAAACTCCAACTCAAAAAAAAAAAAAGTCCACTAGTATTCAAAATAGTGTTATTTCGGGTCTTCTTTAATATCTTCAGCTACGTAATTTTCATATTTTCTGAGGACAATGATGAATTACAGCCAAAAATTTGTTCTTGAAATACTGAATTCATCAATAAGCTAAAATAATTTATTATAGGCATTACATATAAAACAAAATCATGATTATTTAACTAATCGTTTGGTTATAGTGTAGTTATTTGTAGTAATAAATACTTTGATTCACCCAGCATATATCATGAAAACTCAAATTATTTTCTCTAGGATATCAACTAATCCCGAAATTTTATAAAATAAAGAGGAACAAACATGACTGTTCTGTCCTTTTGATGGAGAAACTAAGGCACAGAAAGTTTTTTTGAAGGTATCTTCTAGGGCCACATAATAACCAATAAATAAAGTGAATATCAAAATTGCAATTTCTAGTGCAATTATTTTTTCCATTGGACTAGTGTATATATTCTTTTTTGTAAACTTTGTATTTATGATTGCCATTTTTGTAGGGCATTATCGTAAGAAACAGGTGGAGTTGGGGAGAGGAATTAAATAAAGAGGACTAATCAAATAGTTGAATCTCGATGAAAAATTAGAGTATCTGTTTCCTATGTCTAAAAGACATATTTTCCCCAAGTCATATTCATCATGGCATGGGTACCAGCTGATGTAGGTTCATATGCCAGCCACGCCCCTTACTACCAATGGGAATAACAATGACAGAAATATTGTAAAGATTAAGTATAGCATTATTGTATGGCAATACCTAGCACAGTGACTAACACATAATATATTAACATTTGTTTTCCTTCTTTATACTAATATTGCAGATCAAAAATAAATAAATAAAATGGACTTAAGCTAATAGAGATTTACTCTGGGTATGCATATAAACGAGCATTCCTTCAGTCTAATGCTGTCAGAAACATCTTTGTCATGTACCCTATTGGAATACTATAATAAACTTCCTATTTATTCAAATGATTCTTGGGCAGATATAGACCCTTCTGAAAGGGGAAGAGGAATAGGATACAGTAATTAGCTCTGTATGGAGTAGGGCAGAAAAAAACATAACCAAGTTTGCCTTAGACTTTTTAGATATATTCTAGTTTTCCAGAATCAGGACAAAAGAAAACAAGTTGAGAAATTGTAAGCTTCACACTCAAATGCTTAGCATTCCTCTACCTTTTTTCTTGATAAATTCAAAGAGTGTTTTAGACTTAGGGAAAGATACAATGGTTTGATATGATAACAGAGCCCAATCAATAGAAAAAGGCCCAACTACATGGCATTAAACTTAACTCCAAGTCTCACTTCATTCCTGCCTCAAGCAACGACTCACTTTCCCTCTCTCCTCCAATAAACAAATTGAAGATTTGTCAGAATTCTTCCTAACTGCCTAACGAGGTTATGATAAGAACAAATACATAAAACATTGTTTTATAAACTGTATTCAAATGTAGCTTATAATTATGATTGAATATATCAGTCATATTTCAAATGGTATATGTTTTCATGCTATGAAATAGTATTTGTTTTGGTTTATTACATAGTTTACTGTGACATATTGTATTGAATTTATTTTGTTGTTTTTCAAGGAATATGACAATAGTTTTTTATTAAAGACTGCTTTGATATAGCCAAGATATATATTACAACTCCCTTCTCCGTGCTACCCCCAAAATAGATAAAATAAGTAAAAATGATTTTAACTTATTTAATATTCCCAACACACAAGGTAATTTATTGGCAAGAAGAACTATAAAATCCAATGTCAAGGATAGCTAAGTCTAATATTGGTAAACAGTCAGGCTTCAGTATCCATGGGTTCTGTATCTACGAGTTCAACCAACTGCAGATGGAAAATATTCAGGGATATTTTTAATTGAAAAGTTTCAGGAAATTTACCTGAACTAAATATATATATATATATATATACACACACACACACATATATATATGTATATATACACACACACATACTTGTCATTGTTCCCTAAGCAACATAGTATATCAACATTTTATATAGCAATTACCTTGTATTAGGTAATATAAATAATCTAAAGATGATTTAAAGTATACGGGAGCGTATGATACATTATATGTCAATAATATGCCATGTTATATAAAGGACTTAAGCATTCATGGATTTTGGTATCCAAGGGATGTCCTGGAACAAATCCCACAGAGGTATCAAGAGACGACTATATTACATAAGTAGAATTTACAGACATACCGGAGAAAAATAGTGCTCGATTTTCATATTACATTTTTCACTGACTGAGTGCTTCTGTGACCTCCGCTTCTTACAGCTCATGATGGCTTGAAGATGAATGGATGGTTCAGCTGAAACACTAACTTCAAATTTTCAAGTTATATAGTATCTTCAAAGCTGTCATTAATTGTACAGAGGAAAAGATTAGCTGATATCCTATGTCCCACCTTTCCTGTTGAACTCCAGCCTTGCTCTCCCTGGAGATGTCACCTTAGCAAATAGTTTATTCACCAACTATAATCACCCCAACAATAAAAGCTCTCTTTTCAAGAACACTGTGTGTCAGGTACTTTATGAAAGTTATAATAAACACTTTATGAAAATCATACTAAACACTTTATGAAAATCATCTCTAGTTGCAAGTTCCCATAGATACCAGGAAAATTAGGTATATCAACACTTTGCTGACAGAAAGTATATCTTAGAGAAGGTGGATGAGCTGTCAAAGGCAGAGCTACGTGGCAGAGATGGAATTCAATGGAGGTATAAATACCTTACAGAATAATTTTCAGTTGGAAATTTCAAAAAGGTGTTCTAGTTACATTGATGTTAAAATCTGGTCTCCGTTTAAGATGAAGATGGCAAAGGAAGATAAAATTACAGGGAAGTGGTGAGGAAAGAGCTCATGAAAGAAATTTGGAATGAGATTTTAAAAAGAAATCTGGGACGTTTGCCCAGAATGATAGTCAGAAACCTTAGTTACTGCTTTAGATATTTTTGTTTAAAGAGGTATTTTCCTTCTATCTTTCCTCTGATGTCTCCCTAAAAAAGAGATAAACAAACTTTAAATAAAATAGCGATACCTTCAATAGTAATAATTACCACTAGAAAGATAAATACCATTGAGGAGAGCAGCCATGTCTATCCTTAGTACCTCAATATCTAAAACAATGTCTGGCACATGCAAAGCCCTTGGAAAAGATACATTTGTAAAAATACATTCAATAAATGAATGGAGTAGGGATATGGTATACCATGCCGTGTTCTAAATGCTTTTCATCAACTACTTCATGTAATTCTTACAACCCTATGAGATAGGTATTATTCATCTCACTTTACGGATAAAGAGCTTGAACACCCAGAGAGCTTAAACTTTTACTCAAGGTCATAAAACTGAGAGAACATACTTTCAAGACTTTTTAGTACGAACAATTTATTACAGGAAAAAGAGAGAATGGTATAATGAACCTCTGTTCATTTTTTAAATCAACATATATAATAGTGAAACAGTAGAAGAACTAAAAAATCTAACTATTTTTGTTCAAGGAGGCCTTTTCCCATTCATGCATAGAGGCTAGGTTAATTTTAGAGCAGAGATTTAATATGTAAAAACAGTAGTCATGTGATTTTGAAAACTAACTCTGGGATTAAAGGGAAAGTACAGTATGTAAACAGCTATGTGTTGCTAAAGATTTCTAGGAGCGTTGTGACCTGGAGAATCTTTGGATAACTTCCATTTGAAAAGAAACACAGGGGCTAGAACATAAGTCAAACAATAACACATGTAAACAGCCCAGGAAATCGACATTCTATACAGACAGTTTATCTGTTCTCTCCAACAAATCAAGGCTCATTGGAACATCAGGACAAAGACATTCCCAACCTTCTTTGACTCATGATGGTGCTCATGTCTGCAGTCAATGGTCACCTCTTGATTGTAACTCCTTTCTGTTTCCCATGCCTTTAACATAAAGAGCCCAAATCTTGCACTAACTTTGGGATGCTATTCTACCATATTCTCAGTTTGCTGGCTTGCCCTCTGAAGGAATCTGCTTTTCGTCCCACCAACTCTCATTTCTCATGTTTGGCTTTTGAGGTGTGAGTTGCTAAACCTGGGTTTGGCTACCCTAACACTGTCCTTTTATTTTACTAGATTATTTATGTTACAGCTAGAGACATCATGACATTGAAACTCTAATGGTCACTTCCCATCTCTAAAATTAAATACTTTTTCTTTACATAATCATAATACTGATTTACTCACACCAAGATCCAGCTGAGGTACACAGTTTCCTTTATATGTCTTATCTTATGGTAGAAAAAGCATTGATTTGTTGAAGAGAACAGTGAAATTGTTTCTATACAATGTTCACCTTCTGGGTCGTTGCTTAACTTATGTTCTAGCCCCTATATTTCTTGTTAAATGGGAGTTATCTAAAAGTTATGTTTACCCTCGTAACCGTTCCACTATGGAGCAAGAGTCCTGGTTCTCTAGTTTACTGTCAGTGAACGACTAAGGAAATTCATTTAGCCTTTCTGAGCCTCAGTTTCTTGTTTGTAAAAAGAAGCAATAATTCCAAACAAGATAAGAAATACGGAAGTGCTAAAACAATGTTAGAACTTCTAAGACCATCTGAGTTCAAATATCAGGTAGCCACTTACTAACTGCATGACCTCGGGCATATTAATTAACTATTTTTCCTTCATTTTCCTCACCCTAAGATGGGAATCAACCTTGTTGTGAAGATTAAGAAATACAACGTGGGCTTGGCACAGTGGCTCATGCGTGTAATCCCAGAACTTTGGGAGGCCAAAGCTGGTGGATCACTTGAGGTCAGGAGTCCAAGACCAGCTTGGCCAACCTGGTGAAAACCTTTCTCTACTAAGAATATAAAAACTAGCTAGGCATGGTGGTGGGTGCCTGTTATCCCAGCTACTTGGGAGGCAGAGGCAGGAGAATGGTTTGAACTTGGGAGGCAGAGGTTGCAGTGAGCCAAGATCAAACCACTACAATCCAGCCTGAGCAACACAACGAGACTGTGTCTCAAAAAAAGTATATATATACATATACATACATGTACGTGTGTGTATATATACATATACATATATATTACATGCAAAGCCCTTAAAACACTGGTCTGTATGTAATAGGTTCCCCAGTAAATAATCTAGCAAAATAGAAAGGTGATATAAATGTTATCAGTATCAATACACTTACCACCGGGGTACTCTTTAAACAGCAGAGAACCTAGGAAAATTAAAATAGAAAATATATAATTGCAGAAGTAGGCTATGTTGCAAGATTCTTAAATGCAGGAACTTGCCCAACCGTTAAGAATAGTTGCCCAACTATTAGGAAAATCTGGGGATTCACTGTGTCTGTTAATGATGTCTCATTTTATGAAGCTTGAGAGAGGATCCAGGTGCTTTAGGAATGATTAACAGACAGACTAAAAAAGGAAAATAAAATGAGCAGAAGGAAACATGAATTTTGCATGTACTTGAGCAATCATGGTGGAAATGGGCAAGAGGTTAAGAAACCACTCCAATATCTTCCCTCTCCCTACATTGTTTTCAGTATTCAGGATGAATCAGGTTATATCAAAATATAAAGTGCCCTTAGCTATCCTATTCCAACCCCTGTTTTGTGCTTGAGGTCAAAGTTCTACTTACCTTAAGGACTTGCTTGACTTCCTACAGTAAAGGGATAAAGCAGAGCAGCCTGTCCCATGGGGTCCATGTCCAGCCTACCTGACAGCTCCCCTTAGGAATCTGTCTGTCTCTCATCTCTCCTACCTTCTCTCTCTGCTCCCCACTCTCTGCTTCTCTTCCTGTCCTCTCCTCCTTCACCCTCCTCTTCCTGCTTCTCCCCACCCCAACCCCGCCACCCTTTCTGCCTTTCCAGGGGCAGAGGTTGAGGCTAACTCTAAGCCTCTTCCAATCCCACCACACCGCCCCACTCCCCACAGCACACAAGGGGACTAGCAGCACCACCGAAATAAAATCTGTGTCCTCCGGGCTCCTCAGATGGGTGGCGCAGTCAGACCCTGGCTTCCGGGCATCCAGCTCCTTCCCCTCCCAGCCTGGACTTGAGCCCGCCGCGGCCGCGCCCGCACCCTGAAGAGCAGGGCCCTGTATGCTGGCTCACTGCGCGCCTTGGCAGCACTCGGCCTGGAATCCAGCGCTCAAAGCAGGTTCCCTCTTTGAGGAAGCAAAGACTCCAGAGCTCCAGCTGGGCGGGAAACAGAGCAGGTGGCGCGAGGAGTTTGAATCGCCCGCCTTTTGGGAACCGTTGTCTGCCAACCAATTGGTTACTTTCTTTCACTTTTAAATCAGCCACGTCTCTTCCCACCTAAACCGCCATCTCTCCTTTCTTTTGCTTCTATGGACCGCTGGAAAAGCGGAGAGACTGGCTGTTCCGGGGGCCTCAGGTAGCTACATCTACACACCACTTGCAGTACAAAATTCCAAGTCAGCCCCAGAACCAAAAAGTAACTCACCTAAGAGGAAGGTCCGTTCCCACCAAGTCTCAGAAGCCTGCACTCGTGACTTTTAGGCACTTTCCCCTCCAGTTCCGTGGGATCCAGCACTTCGGTCGGAGAATAGAACCCACCTACCGAATGGCTCGTCTGGCCAATGGACTTAAAGATACTGGAGTTTGTCTTCTCTCTCTAGACAGCAACTCACCTACTGCGGAGGCGGATTGGCTGCGCTGGGGACACCTGCCGGCGTGCTTATAGAAAAGAGTGATTGGGAAGGCGAGGCCGAGGGAGTGCGCCAACCTTACCCAGGCACAGCGCTCCTCCTTGACGCCGCGAGCATGACCCTGTCTCACTGGGCCCGCTGCCCACGGCGGTCCTTGCCTGCTTCTATTCTCCCGGTTTGCCCAGTCCGGAGTAATGGAAAGCGAAAGCGTCCTACTTTCCGGTAGGTTGGGCTGGGCAGGGCTGGAGAGGGAGCGGGAAAGCGCAACTCAGGAGTGGGAGGAGCTGGGACGCTGGCGGCAGAGCCACTGTGTCAGCTTGAGTCTCGCGCTAGAGAAGCGGAGGTGGAAGTCGGGGCGCAGGAATGTGGCTGTCCCCTTCTATAAATCACGGCTGGGGAGGAGGCGCGGAGGCACCAGGCTGTTTTCTGCAGCGCGCCATCTCCTGTGCACACAGGAGGCCCTGAGGCTAGCTCGGTGGGTGGGGAGATTCAGGCACTTCCCAGGGGTCCCCGGCATGCCCAGCAGGTGGGATAGGCCCTGCGACTAGGTCAATCACGAAGAAGCCATGGAGGCAGGAAGAGTAAACGCCCTTGTCATAAATCGATTCTTCAAAACGTTCAATATGTGCAGACTTTTATGGTATGATGAAGATGATATGCGCTCTAGGAATTTGCGTCTCAAAGCTGAAGATCAAAGAAGATTGGAGAGGTTTTGCAAGGCAGCCTGGTGTTTAAAGACCTGTGTTCTGAATAGCTGGATATTGGAGAAGGGGATCAGGGTCACAAAGGGGACAACTTTTATGCAATTGATAGAGGAGTATATGATTTATATAAACTAATATGTTTGAAAGGTTTGTTAGTAACTACAAAACACATGGGAATTGGCCTTAAATGCCTGTACAGTACACCAAAAGAAGCTAAAATTACTGCTTCATCTTCTGTGGGTTCTCTGGGTTTTGGATAGAGTAACCTTAAAAAATATTTGAATGCAGACTTTTTCTATGAGACCCACTTTTGGAATCTTGTGCATTCTACATTCAGAAAGGGTAATCTCAGCTAGTACCCAGTATCCAAACAGTAGCAGCAATAGTTCTACCCCAGAGACAATTTTCTCTCTCTCCTTCCTTCCTTCCTACCTTCCTTCCTTCCTTTCCTTCTTTTTCTTTCTTTCTCTTTCCTTCTTTCTTTCTTTTCTTCTCTCCTTCCTTTTCTTTTCTCCTTCCATCTTTTTTTGTCTTTCTCTCTCTCTTTTCTCCCTCCCCCCTCCCTTCTTCCTTCTTTCTTTTTTGCCTCTTTTACATTTCAATTTGTAAGGAAATAGTGACTAAAGGCCGATAGGCTTAACAGTCTAAAACACGGGTGTTAAGAATTGAATATACTAAAAAAAAAAAAAAAAAAAAAAAAATTGAATACACTGATAAAATTTGTTTCCAAAGGAATGCTTATACACTTGGTGGAAGTGCAAATTAGCTCAACCATCGTGGAAAGTAGTGTGGCATTTCCTCAAAGACCTAAAAACAGAATTACCATTCAACCCAGCAGTCCCATGACTGGGTATAGACCCAAAGGACTATAAATCATTCTGTCATAAAGACACATGAACATGTATGTTCCTTGCAGCACTGTTCACTGTTATTCGCGTCCAATGGTACCGAATATTAAATACATTTAATAAAGAGATCTTCCAAGCAGGCTTTGTGTGGGCAACAAGGCCGTTTTATTTCTTGCTTGGGTGCAAGCGGGCCAAATCCGAGAAAGGACAGGCGAAGTGGGTAAGGTGGGAATTGGCTTTATAGGTTGGGGTAGTTTCATAGGGGGTGGGGGCATTGCAGAGTAAGATCAGTTACAGTGGTGAGGGTAGGGGCAAGGAGTGTACATGACCACAAGTTAAGTTACAACGGCGGGTGGGGTGAGGCAGAAGAGCAGTTAAGATGGCAGGATGGGTGAGAGGTATTCACATGATCATAAGAACAGTTAAGATGTCCGGGTTGGGTGAGGGGGGCTTGTCTGGGGAAGCTCTGCTGGGCAATCAGGGACAATGGTGAATGCAGGTGGGCGGGTGGGAGATCATCAGCCAAAGCAAGCAGGACTTCAGACTTTCAGGCTCCAGGCTGCATATGGAGACCTGACATTCACAACAGCAAAGAAACAACCTAAATGCCTGTTAATAGTAAACTGGATAAAGAAAACGGATTATACCATTGAATACTATACAGCCATAAAAAATAATGAGATCATGTCCTATGCAGGGACATGGATGGAGCTAGAGTCCATTATTCTGCTGCTCTGTTTATGTGTATATATATATATATATGTTTATATATATAAATATATGTTTATATATATAAATATGTAAACCACCAGGGTCTATGTGCCCAGTTCCTGAACATTGCACCAATGAATTTTACCTAACATTTAGATGGCAAATGAATCTTACTATAACCACTCGGAACCACTGTGTGTCTGGTACCTCTTGTGGCACCCATCTTTGGTTCAGAGGGATGGAGGCACAGGTCATAGTAAAGCTCAAGCAGCGATATTCTGAAAGCAGGGCTTTCAGAATTGGAGACTAGAAGGGCTCGCTTTACTTATATATATAAACAGAGCACCAATGGCTTTTAAAATAAATTCAAATAATAATAGAAAGCAAAACATCTTCATGCATAGTATAATCTTTTTTCTACAAGGCCTTGTTTTAAAAATGTGTATAAGGTTATATACTTTTACGTATTTTATATAATTTCTTAAAGGTGCATTATCAAACCAATATTTTCCAGCCAGGGTATCATATTGAAGGGTGATAGTAAACACTCCAAACACACCATCTGTCACAAAATAATTATGTTTATGTGTTTTATGGTTATCTGTTTCCCATAATAAAAATCATAAATGATATGAATTATTGATTAAAATTAATGTTTATAGACTATAAACCTATGAAAAGCCACAAGAGCATTATTTTTACATGGTTTTCAAGAAGTCAAATAACAGTGTAAATTTTGAGTATAACAGAATTCATTTCTGTAGCAGAATTACAAATACAGGAATTATAAATACAAATGATACTCCATTAAGTCCATTCTGCTTTTAACTGTGCGACTATTTACAGTCAGAGGCAGGAATAAAAAAGTTTATATAGGTGTGGAAGAAAATTCATCCCATGGTTTGACCTTGCATGTAAAAAGTAATTTCTTACTATCAAGAAATGGGTTTTCCCAAATCAAAACAAAACAACAAACAAGCAAACAAAAGCGCAAGAAAGAGAAAAAAAACCTACTTACTGACGGTGACTTAAGTTCAGAGGAAAAACCCTTTGCAGCTAATGTTGGAAAAAGTGTGTCCCTCACAGATTTAGCCTAAGAATGAAGAAATTGGCTGGGCGCAGTGGTTCATGCCTGCAATCCTAGCACTTTGGGAAGCTGAGGCAGGCGGATTGCCTGAGCTCAGGAGTTTGAGGCCAGTCTGGGCAATATGGCCAAATCCCGTCACTACCAAAAATAAAAACAAAAAGTTAGCCTAGCCGGGCATGGTGGTGCGCACCTGCAGCCCCAGCTACTCAGGAATCTGAGGCATGAGAATCGCTTGAACGTGGGAGATGGAAGTTTCAGTGAGCCAAGATTGCACCACTTCACCCCAGCCTGGGTGACAGAGTGAGACTCTGTCTTCAAGAAAAAAAAAAAAATTAAGAACAACAACAGAAAAAAAAACAGAAAGAAAATGTTGGAAAAATTCTTGGCTGGCTTTACAAGGTTGGATGCAGCCCACAGCAATCATGCAGCAAAGACAAAGTACTGGAGAAGCCCCACCTGGAGGTCCTCACCTTTAGCTGGTTTGTATGGCTCCACTCCATGTAGCTGTTGGAACACCAGTCTCTCTAATGTGCTCAATAGATAGCTGTTTTCTTCCAGTAATTTATGTCTATGACCGTAAACCTAAAGTACCCTTTTAAAAGTTTTATTCAGTCTTTTTGGAGGAAATTTTTTGTGCATGCCAGATATAGTGTCAAGCATTGGGACTGCTAAGATAAATATAACATTGTCCTCACCATCAAGTCACAATCTAGTAGGTGAGTAGAAGTTAAAAAAAAAAAAAGTTATAACCATAATACAGAAGTGAACATGCTGCAGTGGTAGCACAGAGAGGGCTTCAGGGATGCTGTCACAGAGGTGATAACATTTGAGATACAGATTCCAAATTCAGATCTATTTGCTGTTGTAAAATTCCAGGGTGTATGTGCCCAGTTCCCGAACATTCCAGTGATGAATTTTACCTAACATTTAAATGGCAAATGAATCTTACTATAACCACTCCAAACCACTGTGTGTCTGGTACATCCTGTGGGACCCATCTTTGGTTCAGAAGGATGGAGGCACAGGTCATAGAGCACAAGTCATAAGCTCAAGCAGTGATGTGACAGGGCTTTCAGAATTGGAGACTATAAGGGCTCTCCTTATTTGCATGCTATTTAAAGATAAGTTTTTGCAACTGATATACCCTATTAAACACTTCCAGGCATAACTCAGTGGAGATTTATTTGCAATAGTAGGATCAGGGGATTTGAAATCTTTAATGTGTGTGGTAGCAGGAGGAGTACTGGGTTCCAGCATTTAATAAGAGAACCCATGGCTTCATGAAAGTGTCTAAAGATAAAATTTTTGTTAAAGTTATACTTTACCTTTGGTTGTACAGTTGTTTCTTTTAGTTTCAATAAAATCTAAAACAGGAAATGTCAATTCACATGGTCTGGTAGTGAAAAAATGAGTCTCATACTGAGAGTGGGACCTAATGCTCTGCTATTCAGGAAGTAATGAAGAAAGAAGGCTCATCACTTCAGTGAACTCTGTGAGCCCTTGAACGGGCTTATAGGTAAATGCTTATAGTTAAAATATGTATCTCCCATTTTAGTATTGAATAGAATACTGTCACATTTTTCTCATTAAATCTACATTTCAACTGTCTTTCTTGATTAATTTTGCCAATAAAAGCTCCTTACCTTTTTATAAAAGTTGGAGATTTACATTCATTTTTCTCTAGCAAATTTTGTCTTGTAGGAAAACTTAGAAACCCAGGATGATAAAACCTTCTTCAAAAGAGACTTTACCATTAATTTTTGGAGGCAGCTGGGTGGGGGCTACTAGTAATCCTAGATTATATTAACCTAATCAGGATTGAGATGATTTCAAATTGACTGGTGCCCCTGTGAAGGCTGGGATATTTATGGAATATTTTTATTCTTTGGGTACAACAACATTTTACCCATCCAAAATTACTAGGCTGCCTACAACTTGACAAGCTTTAGACTCTTAACTTTTTCCTCCCCCAGTTTCATGATTCTAACTCAAATGTCTGGTCAGATACTCAACCATCTCTTCCAAATTGTCAGGTTCCCAAAAGAGCCACACTGATATGGTTTGGGTCTGGGTACCCAGCTAAATCTCATCTTGAATTTTAAGCCCCATAACCCCCAAGTGTCAAGGTAGGAACTTGGTGGGAGGCAACTGGATCATCAGGAAGGTTCCCTCATGCTGTTCTCATGATAGTGAGTGAATTCTCATAAAATCTGATGGTTTTATAAGGGGTTATTCCCACTACACTCTTCTCTCTCCTGCCACCCTGTGAATAAGGACTTGTTTGCTTCCACTTTACATGATTGTAAGTTTCCTGAGGCCTCCCAGCCGTTTGGAACTGTGAGTAAATTAAACCTCTTTCCTTTATAAATTACCAACTTTGGGTATTTCTTCATAGCACTGTGAAAACAGACTAATACAGGAAATTGGTACCGGGAGTTTGGGGCGCTGCTACAAAGATACTTGAAAATGTGGAAGGAACTTTGGGACTGGGTAACGGGAAGAGTTTGGAACAGTAGGGCTCAGAAGAAGACAGGGAGATGTGGGAAAGTGTGGAACTTCCTAGAGACTTGCTGAATGGTTTTGACCAAGATACTGAGAGTGATACGGACAATGAAGTACAGGCTGAGGGGTTCTCAGATGGAGATGAGGAACTTACCTGACACTGGAGCAAAGGCCACTCTTGTTATGCTTTAGCAAAGAGACTGGAGACATTTTACCCCTGACCTAGAGATCTGTGGAACTTTGAACTTGTATTAGTTCATTTTCATACTGTTAAGAAGTATCTGGGACTCAGTAATGAGGTCAAAAGATCAAAGGAAAGAATTCACCCTGTGACAAGAGAATCTAACTATTATATGTATGTATAACTGTATTATAAGCATGTAAAATGACCTCACTGAAGGAGGTGAGAAACAAGATGGTGACTGAAATAACTTTGGGAATGAATGGAGTATGTAAGACTACAAGCACAGAAATTGCACATAGGCACTGCATTTTAGTTGATAAAGTTATTTCCCATTGAGGTAGAAGTTAACAATTCTGACACTGCTATATATGTATATGTGGATTAAGCAATTAAGTGAATGTGTGAGAAATGGCAGGCATCATGCGTCTCAGTGTTTGGAGTTGGGATTTACAGATAAGAAAGGCATTTACACATATGTGTACATATACATATATGAGTAAATATACACACATATATTTCTTTGCCCTGTCAGCTGAGGGGGCTAAAAAAAGAACACCCCAGTAGCAATGAGCATACCTAGTACTTAGATATTGGTTTCTAATACCATTCTTCAGTAAAAGTCTCCAGGTGTTCCATGGTGAGCAAGTCTGTGCAAACCTACCCCCAAAGGCCAAAGAAGCCGAGAGGCCAAAGAAAGAGGCTGACAAATACAGTTTCTCAGAAAGAAACATTTAATAGGAACTTACAAACAGAAGCAATGTTTCCAGCAGCCACTAAATGGCAGCACTCACCCTCCCGAAAATACCCTTTACATAGCAAGCCTTTTTGGCAAAACGTGTAGCTCTGGTCGCATCTCAGACTTTCTTGTGAAACACCTGAACACTGGGGAGGTTAGCTAAGCATCTTTATGAGGGGTTATCTGTACTACCAGCATTGTTTAAAGACATTGTTGCAGAATATCTTGGTATGCAGGAGTCAAACAGCAGTCACCATGGCAGCTGCACTTCAAGATGACATCATCCTTGCAATGCAACAGGCTTTTTTCCTGGACTGCACCCCTTGAAACCAGCCCTTACAATCTTAAATGCCCACCTCTTCTGTGATATCCCTGGACCTAGATGGAGGGTGCTTGATACTGTATGGCTTTAGTAGCATGGCACTGGCAATGGAAAACAGATTGGGTCCAGTGGAATTCCAGATGAGGGAGATTTGCAGGCTTGGCTGAATCATCTATATAGTCTTCACAATACCATGAAGAAGTAAAACAATGAGAAATACATAACATTCATAATTGGAATAGAAGAAATCTAAATAAAGTAATATGATATTTAAGATATCCCTTGCCTTAATAGCCTATAAACATGGGAAGAATGACTATTGTCTTCTGAATTTCAGGACCCATGTATTCTGACAGTTTCAGTGACATGAGGATTTTGGAAATTCTAAAAGATTCTGAGATCATTTCTAATCAAGCATTTAGCTCCTAAGTTAGCATTAATGACAACCCCAACTTTTGCTACTGAGTGACCTTCACATTTTGCTGAGCACTTGCTTTCCTTATGTCAGATGTAGAGAATAATGAGATGAACAAATTTTGATTCCTGCACTGTAGCAAATGAATTTACACAAAAATATAAAAGATGAAAAAAATAGTGATTACATTACTTTCAGTGTCATGAAACTGATTATTATTTAATCTTGTTATTCTTCACTTCGCTTGACTTTAAAATATTGCAGGTTATAGTCCATCTCAGTGTTGTTAGGACTAATTTCTTCATGTGCTTAAAAAGGTGCCTGACAGATAGGAAATGGTTAATAGTATTATTATGGATAAAACTGATCATTTCGGAATTTAGATGCCTATGAAAAATAACTCCATAAGCCATTCCTTTAAATCTAATAGACTGAATTCTCATAAGTCCTCATCACTCATCATTTCTATATCCTGATGGCTTACAAATACCTCTTCATACCATGGTTTATGTCTTTGCTTAATATCAAGGAGAATGGATTCTATAGTAGAGCCAAACTCGATAATACTACGAATCTCATGTTGGTAGTCATAAGCAAAGCCAGCAGCATGCATGGCTACCAATGAACCTTTTGAATCAAACACTGGGGAGCCAGAAGCCCCAAAGAAAAACTCAGTGTCATAGGTAATCACATCAGGGTTGTGAACTATTTTCTGGAAACTTCTTTGAGTGTACATATGAACATACTCTGGACTTTCTGCTTCTTTAGCCTGAATACGTTCCTGACATTTCTTTGCTCGCTGATCCTGAGGGATCACAACACAAGCATCGGTTTGCTTTTTTTCTCCATATGGATGGCCAATAATATGTATTAACCCACTAAGCGGCACAGGAACAATTCCATTATATAGTTCCATAGGTACTTGTTGTCCATTTTCCTTCAGTTTCAGTACAGCATAGTCAAGCTCTTTATCATGTATCTCAAACCAAGATTCAACGAAAAAGCAGTTTGTTTCCTTTTCGTTTGGCTCTTCATAACCAAATGTTACCCTTACACATTGACCAATTACGTCTGCCCACTTACTTGGCTCTATTTCTTCTCCTACAATGTCATCTATTACATGTCGACAAGTTAAAATGAACAATCCTTTAAAAACAAAGCAGGTGGCACAACCTGTAGTTGCACCGTCCCAGTATAAGTGCCCAACTGAGTCACTGAGATGTCCAAGAAGTTTCACTACTTTTACAGAGTAAGAGCTTTTTGTTACTTTCCCAAAGTTTGTTCTATGCAATTTAAATAATGTTTTCCCATTTTTTCTTTTCATTTTTTTCTTGAAGTTTTCCCTGATTTTTTCACTTTCTCTTTTCAAACTGGGGTACTGAGATATGATTTGTTCTCTCAACACACAGGTGTTTCTTTTCTCTGACTCAGGATTCTGAGGACTTGCTTCACTGGGACGCGTTCTGTTCTCAACCTCAACCTGGAAGAGTTTGCCTTCTAATTCATCAACTGGCTGGGTATTTTCTAAAATGGAGTCATGGTTTTCAATGAGTTTCCAATCATCATTCTCCAGAAAGGAACGAAATCTGCCATCCTTGCACAGAGCATCCTTGATGGTTTCTCCTTTGAAAGCATAGACACAGAGTTTGCAACCCTTTTTGTGAAGCTTCCCACATTTAACAATTTTTCTTTTATACTTCCCAATTCCAATTGCATGAATGTAGAATTTGACACATTCAGTCGATGCCTTGCCACACCAGCTACGTATTTGGTTATTTTCCTTCTGCTTACTTTTACTTTTGTAAAAGGTAACGACCACATGGCATTTTTCAGGAAAACAAGTGAGGGGCATTCCAAGGTTTATGTACTCTTCGATTCCTTCTGCTCCATGCACAAGGATTTCTTGGCCTTGGTGAGTTTCTATCTCTTTTCTGACAGCCTGGAGAGTCTTGAGAGCTATATATAAGCTATTATTCTCACTGGGTGGGAGCACATATTTCATATTTTGGTTTTTCCTGTGGTTTACATCCAGGGTAACATGTATTATCTGATTTTGGGGCATGGTCTGGTCTTCTGGATTTTTCTTAGGTGAATGGAATCTTTGAGCATGGGTATTAGTTATTTCACTTGGGCTGCCTCTAGACACCATCCTCATTTGAGAAGTACTGGGATTAATCTTTTGCTTTTTAGAGACCTAAAAATAAATGTTAGATACTTTAAAACTCTGACTGCAACCTTAGTCTTTTTTTTCTCTTTTCAGGTATGCAATTCACAAAATTCCTATGAGAAACTCAGAACCAATCTATGAGGGCCAGTGAATAGAATTAAATCAGTGTTTGACTTGGGACCCAGAATGAAAGCTGAGCTTCCCATAACATCTGTCAGATAAACTCTTGATACTACTACTGTAGTGCTTTTTTTTTTTTTTTTTTTTTTTTTTTTTTCTGAAAAATATGAGAGAGGGGGCCAGGCGAGGTAGGTCATGCCTATAATCCCAGCATTTTGGGAGGCCGAGGCGGGTGGATTACAAGGTCAAGAGATCAAGACCATCCTGGTTAACATGGTGAAACCCTGTCTCTACTAAAAATACAAAAAATTAGCTGGGCACGGTCATGTGCCTGTAGTCCCAGCTACTTGGGAGGCTGAGGCAGCAGAATTGCTTGAACCCAGGAGGCGGAGGTTGCGGTGAGCCGAGATCGCCGTTGCACTCCAGCCTGGGTAAGGAGCGAAACTCCGTCTCAAAAAAAAAATATATATATGAGAGAAGAAACAAGTTTTTCCCAGGTGCATCAAAACCACAAATTCTTAAAAGTCCACTAGTGGCCGGACATGGTAGCTCATGCCTGCAATCCCAGCACTTTGGGAGGCTGAGGCGTGTGGATCATCTGAGGTCAGGAGTTCAAGATCAGCCTGACCAACATAGTGAAACCCTGTCTCTATTAAAAATACAAAAATTAGCGGGGTGTGGTGGCATGTGCCTGTAATCCTAGCTACTGAGGCTGAGGCTGGAGAATCACTTGAACCTGAGAGGTGGAGGTTGCAGTGAGCTGAGATCACGCCATTGCACTCCAGCCTGGGCAACAAAAGCAAAACTCCATCTCAAAAAAAGAACGAAGTCCACTAGTATCTGAAATAGTGTTAATTCAGGTCTTGTTTATTATCTTCAGCTATGTAATTTTTATATTTTCTGAGGACAATGATGAAATACAGCCAAAAGTTTGTTCTTGAAATACTGACTTCAGCAATAAGCTACCACAATTTATTATAGGCAATACATATTAAACAAAATCATCATTATTTAACTAATCGTTTGGTTAAAATATACTTATTTGTAATAATAAATACATTTATTCACCCAGTATATATCATGCAAACCTCAAATTATTTCTGTATTACATCAATTAATCCCAAAATTTTATAAAATAAAGAGGAACAAACATGACGGTTCTGTCCCTTTGATGGAAAAACTAAGATACAGAAAGTTTTTCTTATAGGTGTCTTTTCTAGGACTACATAATAATCAATAAATAAAGTATCAAAATTGCAATTTCTAGTGCAATTATTTTTTCCATTGGATTAAAGTATATATTCTTTTTTGTAAACTTTGTATTTATTTATTTATTTTTTTTGGCATATGAATGAAAATTAAGTTTATTTGTTATTTCAAATCTTTGGAAAACAATTGAAAGCAAAAGTCTGAGTGGTGACTTGAACACCTTGTACAGAAAAATCTAAATGACACTTGATGTGTTAATCTAAAAGGATTATGTCAAGAGAATTCCAAAAGCAGAATATGCAAATGCTGCTGTTGTCTCTATTAGTCAGCCGCCTCAGTGATTTCCCACCATGCTGACGGCCGGCCCGTGGGAAAAGAGAGCCCGGGTGGCTCTCCAGGTGTCATTGTGAGATTTCATCAGGGATGGCTCTAAGAGACCCATTGAGATTTGAGTATATTCTTTTATTGCTGCAGCTACCTGTTCTCAGTTGAGGTAATGTGAGAAGCAGGCTGGTTGAGAACCCTGCTAAGCATTGAGGATGCTCGTTGTAAATGCCCTCACACACCCATACAAACATGCATGGGAAGAAACATAACCGATTTCTTACAAAGAAACAAGTACATATATGAAACACAGCCAGATTTCTTCCGTTTAGTAGGTAAATTCCTAATTTGATAATTAAGAAACGATCTCATCTTATGCTAGTCATTAGTAAAGTCAAAGTAACAATATTCTGCTTCCAGTTACAGCCTAAAGAAGCCTGCATTACAGGCACATACATTGTCACAGTCACATGCACTGCGGATGAAAAAAGGACTTGATTTTCTT